CACTAGGCAAGGGAGTGAACTTTTATACTCCTACACTGTTCAGTCATTGGTTAAAGGCCCCCCGGGAGGGATGAGCATATCAACTCCCAGATGTCCCAGATGCTTTAAAATCTCTGCACCTGTGGGCAAAAGCGGCTTGAGACCCTTAAGCACTAAAGAGCTGTACATTATTTCTGATGCTTGGAAGGGAAAGAGAAGTAGATGGTACAAAAACAGATTTGGAAGGATCCTGCAAGAGCATGAACATTAATAGCCACAAGGTAACTAATACAGCGACTTTCAGAGAGGGCTTTGTTACTACTGTGTATGCCCATGAAAATACAATTTAAATACAAGTTTAAGAAGTGTACAGAAGCCTAATTTGGAAGGTGAAACTAAAACTAAAGTCATGGTGAGCAACTGTTATTCACTTCCTGTAACTTGTTAAATGATGGTTCAAAAACCAACAGCCACCACACCTCTCTTCATGCCAGTTGAATGAATAATCTAGAGCACAACGGTGAAGAGCAGAGACTGACAGTGGGAAGGGCATTTGAAGCTCTCAACAGTGACCAATGTCAAATCAGCACAATAAAGCCAATTACTTTTCCTTTGTTTCATTTCATAAAAAGAAAGATTTGCCAGTATGAAACTGAAATTTAGATTAGGAATGCTTAAAGCTGGGAGGACAAAACTTTATAAAAGGACTCAATGTTCAGCTACTAATTAGTCCTTTTTGCAGATATTAGTTTCAAAGAAGCTTAGTATGTGCTTATAATGATCTCTGGACAAACTGTTACATGTTTATATGAAGTGTGGCTGGGCATCATTGTAATAGCTGCCAGCTACTGCTTGTTTGTGAGGACTAAAGTTTTAAAGGATTATTCAAATGGAGCAGTGACGCAACTCAGAACCTCCAATCCAATATCTTGTGGCTCTAACAGGAACTATTAAATATGTCAGAAAGACAAAGAGTCAATATAAAGCACATAAAACTTTACAGGATTTTTGTTCTTGAGAAATACAGTCTTCTTCCTTTAAATAAAGGACTCTGGGAAGATTCTTTGCAGCGTAAACAATATATAAAATTACTCATTTTGCCAACATCGCGAACTTGCATTGACTTGAATCACAATGACCCATAATCTTTTGTCATATGGAAATCTAATCCCTATTAATCTATAACTACAAACAATATAAATCTATTATATAAATTAATTTTATTGACAAATATGAGGTGTTCACTCATTAAACAGACACAAGAGTTTTATCAAGAAGGTCTAAACCAGATAACATAAATTACTCGAAAGTAAAAGGGAATAATCCATCTCTATTGGATACTCTTTAAAACAGATTATTGTATTTTGCTTTCTCATATATCTTTTATAATATTTGTGTTTTCCTTCCCTAATTTCATAAGAAATTCCTACATCCAGAGACCAGTCTTAAAATTCATTTACTAAATATATCATCAATTTGACCTTATGAAACTATTTTAAGTGTCTGCAGAGTCTCATTTTAAAAGTAAAACCAGCTGGGCACAGTAGTTCATGCCTGTAGTCCCATCACTCACCCTTTCAAGAGAAGAGACCTAATATCTCACAATCTAGGGATATAATACTACATCAGAACTATTCCCTGTCTCTACTTCTACTTATTGTTTGTACTTTTGCCACCACTTTACCTTCTTTCTACACTTTACCTTTATTGTACAGTCTATAATGACTCACTGCATCTGCTTACTAACATGTGGGGTGTGTGTGCGTGTGTGTGTGTGTGTGTGTGTGTGTGTGTGTGTAATTTCTGCCTTTGCTATTAACTGCTATGTCAAGCCCAGACTTACATGGAAGACTTGTTTCCTTTATTCACTGCTGAGTAAAAGGCTTCTTCATTAGCCCAGCTCAAAGGCATGAGCCAATTTATAGATATCTACCTCTAAAACAGTTACCACCTTTAGTCAGTAATCGTTGGCCAGAGAATCTCTTGCTTTTTCTCTAGCATTATCTTCAGTGCAAACTTCAGCAAAGTCATCCCTGAATGACCTCATCTTCCCCAGAGTGTGCTTCTAAGTGAACAAGAATGCAGATTTAACCTTCCGGATCTAGCTATTCGATCACTAAAACTGACTAAATCAAGTTTCTTTTCATAGACAAAGAGTTTTCAAACTTATCAAGATCTCAAATGTATCTCCACTTTCTTGTCAATGCCTGAAATTCCTTTCTTATGGGACACAGCTTTTCACTTAACAATTGAAAGTATTAAAGTGCCAACTCTTGGCTGTGGTAATTTAAGGAGGTCAATTAGTCAGTTGTTCAACTATTCTAAAGGCTTGAGTTTTGTTACTTTGCAGTTTCAGAGAAAAATTGGACACTGGCATTAAATGGGGAAACAAAAAAGTAGAGAAGGTGACAGATAACCTGTGAAGTATGGAAAAAATGTAGAAAGAGAAGGCCAAGCCTCAGTGAACACAAGTTTCAGTACTGAAGATATTTTTAAAATTTATTATTCTTTACTTCTAACTTAGAGCAAAAGGAGAGAAGTGATTTACAGAGTGTCTTTATTGTTTTTTCTCATACACATTCATACTCATGCTTACTTTAACAATGCTATTATGATCCTGCATGACTGCCAACAGTGGTTGACATGCTTTATGAAGTTTATTTTTTCTAACTCAACTACATTGTAGGACGGTTTTACTGCCTTGGGACTTGCAGGGCAGAAGCAAACTTTCACAATCCTGCCATAGAGATATGTCAACTCTTAGGCTCTGTGCCAGTTTAGTCCATAGGGACCCTGACAAACTCATATTCTTATTGGTCATTCTGAGGAACCTCTAAAGTGATGACTTTTTGCAATAAGATCTAGGAAGAAAGAAGTAAATGGTCCCCTAAGTGTCTGACTGAGGTGCCAGGGATGGATAGAGAGACAGTTTTTTACTCCCCCTGGAATTTTTTCTGGAATCTCATTGATCTGATACAAATAAATGACACATTTACACATGTTAATTTCCTTACCAACTTAACATTCTTGGGAGACTCCTTGAGTTATTTGAGAAATGTACCATTTAATGTTGGTCGAGCTAGATCTATTTGCTGAATAAAGCAAAAGTCTGTTCATTTTAGTGGGGCTCAGAGCAAAGAAGAAGACTCTCTAGCTGGTCTAAGGTACAGGACAAATAACTTTATCAACTAATCCTTATAAAACAGCATATGCTGTGGTGCTTCAAGTGTCAGAGGCAGGTGGCAATGTGCAGTCAAGCCTACTGTAAACCGTGAAAGAAGAATAGCAGATGAAGACCCAAGACTTTTGTAGCAAAGTCATGCCTGCTTTACCAAGTTTATTTTCTTCTTGAGAAAGAGCTCTGGATCAGCTCACAAATCTTTGGCCCAGGGAATGATTGGGATATCTGACCCCAGCTGCTCGTCATGAACTGGATACAATCTGTTACTCCTAGCCATAAAATCTGGTGTACTCAAAAGCTCTTAAATATCAAGTGAAAACAGCACTGAGCCCAAGCAGGTTCTAAAGGCATTAGTAATTTGCATAGGCAGATAGCATCCAGAGTGCCTTCCTCCTGCCAAATTACTTCCCCTTCTTCAAACCACATCTGTGGCTTGATGGGTAATTTCCTATGACAAATTAAAAAGGAAAAGAAAAAAAAGAGCTCAAACTGGAATTACAGAGAGCTTTGCCTTACAGCAAAAATGAACTACTATAGCACTACAGTCCCAAGGAGGACCCTTTAAGATAAATGAGAAATAGAATCCTTTCAACCAAGAGGGATTCAAGTGGCAATGAAACACTGCTGATCTTTGGCTCCTAGAAATATTTGCTCCCTTTAACTTATCTGACACTATTCTTTTTTTCTTTTTGTCTACTCTCACATTTCTAGCCATCCCATCCCCATCCTTTCTGAAGACCAACCCCCCAGGCATACCCATTATTGAGTTCATCAGCTTTAGTTCTAAACTCTCTTTTCCTTCCATCATACGAACTAGGCAATTTTACATGACTTCACTTGTGATAACTACAATGATGACACTTTCATTTACATATTTAGCCTAGGACTCTGAGCTCCAGAGCTACATCCTTTTTTATTATGGAAAAATACATATAACATAAAATTTATCATTTTAACCACTTTGAAGCGTATAGTTCAGTGGCATTAAGCACATTTACATTGCTGTGCAACCATCAGCAACATCCATCTACAGCATTTAAAAAATCTTCCCAAACTGAAACTCCATACCCATGAAATAATGCCCTTCCAGCCCCTAACAACCACCATCCTACTTTCTGCCTCTACAAATTTGCCTGTTCTACGTTCTTCAGACAGGTGGAATCATATAATATTTTCACTTTAGTGTCTCGCTTATTTCACTAAGCACAATGTTTTTAAGGTCCTTCCATGTTTGTAGCAAGTATCAGAATCTTATTCCTTTTTAAGCATGAATAATATTCCATTCTCTATATACCACATTTTGTTTATCCATTTATTTGTTCATAGATATTTGTGTTGATTCCACCTTTTGGCTACTGTAAATAGTGCTGCTGTGAGCATTAGTATACAATTATCTGTTTGAGTCCGTACTTTCAATTCCTTTGGGTACTGAAATTTCTGGGTCATACGGTAATTCTATGTTTAATTTGTTGAGGAACTTCCATGTCATATACTTTTGATATATTTACATGCCCTTTACATTTGAATGTGATGTAGACACTTCAAAATAAACTAAAATAAATGTTTTGTCTTTCCTCCAACACATGGTCCTTCATTAGTGTTCTCTGGGAGAATGGCACTGCCAACCAGGCGGATAAACAAACCAGAAAATAATAAGTCACCCTTGATATAACCCTCTTTCTCACCTTTCATATCATCATCTTGTCAGTTTTAACTCTGAAATATTTTTTGAATTCATTTATTTCTATCTCTATCATAATTTGTCTAGAAATAATTCTCATTATGGTTCATCTGATTGTCGTAACAACCCCCTAACAGGTTTATTTACATACATTCTTACCTCCTTATTAGCACTGCTCCACAGTATGGTCAGAAAGTTCACACGTGACGACTTTCTTCAGTTAAGAAAACACATCTGAAATAGCAGCAACAGTTAAGAGTCAGTGTCTCCTTAGGGTTATGGTAATCTACCATTCTTCAAGTTCAACAAAGATTCTGTTACCCACCTGCTGAAAATGTTCAATAGTTTAATCATGTTAGGATAAAGAGCATAATTCTTAATCTGGCCTGTAAGATACTGCATGATCTGGCCTCCACTTTTTCCATATTTCCTACTTTTCCTAAGCTTTATTTCTCACAAACCCCTGCCTCATTTTCTGATCTCCCATCATACTAAGCTTCCTTGGGTTTTTAATTAATTATTCCCTACTTGGAACAGGGCCATACTGAACAATATTCTCTCCAACTGGGAAACTATCCTCTATTCCTCATCGCCACATGGAAGCAATCCTTCACTTCTAAGATCAGGTGATACTCCTCTCACAGGCTCTCAATACGTTTCTCTTTTTCTTAGCTTATCATAGAGACATTTCTACATTTTATTTGTTTGGGTTTTGATTAAAATATATTTTTCCTCTTAGAAAATAATTCTCATGAGTGTATCAACCCTGTGTACTTTTTCAAACCTCTACATTTCTAACAGATAGAATAATTCCTGGCACAGAGTGGAGTGGACATTCCGTGTTTGTGGAATGAAGGAATGAATCTGTTTATGTCTCTTTGTTCCTCGCCAGAATTCAAGCACCTTTATCAGAGAAGAGCCAGCCCTTGACTTATTCACCTTGGCATCTCCAACATCTGGCATATTTAGGGCTGAACTGAACACCATAATTTCAATTCCAACAGGGTCTTTTGAATTAGCCATGAGCATACCCTTGTCAACATTTAGGTTTTGGTTCCTCTCGTAACAAGAAAAATCCTACAAACTACATCCCTTTTCCTTCATACAATAGTTGATTCTCTCTTCTTTTTCCTAGAGGAAGAAGACAGCATTTTGTTTAGGCAAAAAATGAAGACAAGCAAAGAAAAGTCTGGAGAGAGCTGGTAAAGACAGCTAGTCTAGGCAAACTTGCCCTGAGTGATTGCAAACTACTTCTAGTTGTCTCAGTTTGTTAGAAAAATGCATGCACAAAATCAATAGATGAATACTGAACTCCAAGAGCTACAATAATTTTCTCCAGTTAAGAAAACATGTCTGCAATAGCAGCAACATTTAGAGTCGACTGCCTCATTAACATTATGGTAATCTACTATTCTTCCTCAAGTCCGAAAAACATTCTGTGCTGACCAAATTGAAGAGCCAAATAGTGATGTGCTGACAATGACCACTCCTACTTATTTGGGTGTTTTCTTGGTGGTTCTAATCTCTGCTATTCCTCCAGGGATGTTTTATTCACTATTTTGTCAGAAAACACGAGGTTCAAAGGCTTCTATCTGAAATTTCCTAAGGTAACACAGTTCCATTGTTAAGATTCTAATATTGTACAAGTACGCAAGCATTTATTCATACATACATATATATGTAAACAAATACTTACATATATTTCTATATCAGATCAGACCAGATCATATAGATTGATGCTGAAACTTCCTTTGAAATTTCAGCACTTTAAATTGCTATTCAAGACTGTAGTGACATATGAGCCTTCAAAAATCAGTGTTAATCAATGCCTCTACAATTGTACCTGAAATATTTGGATTTCCCTGCCTCAGCACCAAGTAACTCAGGTTAGTATGTATACGTTACTATGAGAAGCCTAGAAAGAGATACAGCGTACTCAACTGTGATGTTACAGGGGAGACTTTAGTGGAATTGAAGACCGACTGCCCTGGGCTTGGGAACTGAGTGAAGATTAGAAATGGAGTGATAAACTGTGACTCTCTTTCATGTTGGCTTAAAGCAGGACTAAAGTTTTGCTTTATTTTGCTCTACATTTAATTGTGCAAATAAAATCAGAACTTTAGGTACTTAATGATTAATTAAGCATAGCCAGAGATCTTTGCAAGTCACAGCATCCTGTGACAGCAGATTACTCTGCTTTCTGTGCTACCTGCTGTGATAACTATGTTCACTTTGTTTCTAGTGGTTTACTGTGCTCTTCAACCTTATGATCCCATGAAGCTCAGGAAGACAATAAATTGCATTTCATCCTACCAGCATTCCTGACCTAAAGCCAGTAAAGTACTCTTTAAATTTTTCTGTGTTGTCATCACCTATGTCTTTCTCAAGGCCTTAGTGAAGCAAGATTATTTGGGTCTGAGAGTGGATATGTGAGTCGCACACCATTCCTATTCTTAAAGAATTTAACTACCTTCTATACTATGTCAATATTACTTAAAGTGCTTAACATAATGATATTCAAGTTTGCACTAGTCAACTAGAAAACCATTTAAGTTTAAGCCAGCTAACCAACTAGCATTGGATACATACCTTCTACTAAATTAATACATGTAAAATAATCAATCTGATTTGAAAATACATTACACTTTCCTTTGTCTGACATTTTCACAACCTGTTTTAATGATTATTTCCCAATTTTTTTTATAATTTCTTGAGCAAACTCCTTCAAATACTTTTGCTTGAATGCTTCTTTTAAATATTTTTGCTCTATACTTTAGTATCTATCCCCACCAGGTCATGTTGAATTTGGATGTTGATTCCCAGTCAAGCAACCATTGTGACAAAAAGGGACATATTATTTTCCTCAACCAAGAGTGGGGGACAGCTTATGGAGGCAAAGGCTATATAATGGAATTTTAGAGAGCGTTTTGGATATTTTAAGTCTTTTGTGTCTCCTAAATCTAACTATTACATTTACTAAAATATTACTCTTTTTCAGATCAATATTCCAAATTTCACATTTTTAGAGTTTGACTTTAAATGATAAAAAAAAATACTTGGAACAAGAAAGAATCACATGGAATATTCATAAAAGAATTCAATTTTTGTTCTCTTCAGTACCTATAAGTGAGTGTAGTTCACTTTTCACTGGATGTTAAAAAGGGCAGGTCCCTTGACTTCTCAGCTTACTCTTAAAAAGCATAAAGTCAGTCCTATGTTCATGCTAAGTCACAAATAAAGCCCAATTCTGAGTTGAGAGCACCCGGTCCAAAATACTGTTGAATCATTTCATCTCAATTGGTAGATAAATCTTCTTTGACCTTTCTACAACCACGGCCTGCTGCAAGTGGAAACCTGTAATTTGAAAAAGGGAGTATGGGTGGCATCATTTTCTCTCCCTGCCTAACATTTCTACTCCACTTTCAGATTCCTGAACCCCTGCCAGCGTGAAAGCATTGGGAGAGATGAACAGTAAGGGAAATAGGAAAGTTCTCTCCTGACTGACATTATTGTGCAATGCCTTCATGCTCTCTGAACATGAACATGAGAAAGTCAGTGTGCACATCTTTATAGGCTTTTCAGAGGTACTAACTACTGCTGGGCTCTCTCTCTCTCCTTGGCAGAGGTGATACATTGTATTTCTCCAGCTTCTATTCAGTCTTTAGGCCCTAGTTTTCTAGTATTTTGATTTTTCAAATTTTGTCTAAGCATAAAAAGCCCACATAATTAATAATATTAACCAATATGAATTTTATTTGCACTAGAAATAGGCAGAGGGGGCACAATAAGTAACATAAATACTGTCTATCAGTCTTTATTTTGGAAATGTAATAAGCTATACTCATAACCACTTTCACACTTTCTTTAATCTCTTAATCATGACAGGTCTGTCTGTATTCCAGTTTTACAGAAAATTAAACTGTTAAACTGAGTCATAATAAAATTAACTTGCCAAATGTCACTCAACATAATACGTGGGAAAGTATGTCTGACATAAACATCCATGCTTTTAACTCCTATGCTATTCTAATTCACTAAACCAAAATTAATTTGATTCTGATAATCGTCCAAATTGGGAAAAGTTTGGAAATTTGTGAGTTATGATGGGTGATTAAAAAGTGATTAGCCCTGTAAATATCTACCTGTACTATATACCCATAAAATAAAAAATAAAGAAATAAAAGTGATTAAACACCCCAGGTACAAGCTGCTTAGTCTGGTATTTCAAATCTTCTACTTTAGAGCTGTGCAAACTTGGACAAGATACTTAAATCCTGTTCCTCAGCTATGTTATCCATAAAACAGTGGTATACATACACTATTGTATTTTATGAAGAGTTGTTATGAAAAATAAGTGAATACATGCTAAGTACTCAGAAAAGTGCTTGACATATATATGTAGTATATCTCTGCATGTATATATATATACACACATACCTATATTATATATGTATATATATGTGCATGTGTACATATATATGTATATATAAAGTAGCTTGAAAAGTGTTCTGCATATAGAAAGGATTCAGTAAAGGTTACAAATTATTATTATTACTAATATTATACCTAATCCCAAATCTTCTTTTATTTATTTATTTTTTGAGACAGACTCTCACTCTGTCACTAAGGCTGGAGTACAGTGGAAATATCTTGGCTCACTGTAACCTCCGCTTCCTGGGTTCAGTCAATTCTTGTGCCTCAGCCTCCCGAGTAGCTGGGACTAAAGGCGCCCGCCACCATCCATGTCTAATTTTTGTATTTTTAGTAGAGATGGGGTTTCACCATGTTGGCCAAGCTGGTCTTGAACTCCTGACCTCAAGTGATCCGCCTGCCTCAGCCTCCCAAAGTGCTGGGATTACAGATGTGAGCCACTGTGCCTGTCCCTCAAATCTTATCTAAAATTTAGGTTGATATTTGGATTCTTTAGAAGTTTTCAGAAAATAGAGTATAATAATATAAATTTAACATAAATATTTCAAAATACTTCCTAGCCAGCTTGCTTTAGGAGTAATATGTGCATATGTGTGAATGTGTGTTTTTGTGTATGTATGTGTGTGGTGGGGATGGGATGATAACGTTACCCAAAACTTCTTCAGGGCTTGTGGGAACTCTGATAGGCCTCAACTGTGTATTTAAGTGAAAATGTCTTAAGGAGAAATTTCATCTTTCTTCAATCTAAAATAGTATAGCAGCAGTTGCTTGCTTTGTAACTAATTCAAATAATATGCAGGCAT